ACGAACTTACGCCTTCCCATTATTGCAGTGGATTATTGCTACCCCTATATGTCAGAAAAACAAACGACGACGACTGAGAATCTGAGGATTACAAAGTTTCGAAAACAGAAAATGGACAGAACAAGACTGAATCGAAGAGAAGGAGATCAACGACAAAGGTGAATCGGAGAAGGATGCAGCCATTAAAAGGATCGAAGGTTTTAAGGAAATTCAGGAAGTTAAAGCTTTGAAATAAGAAACAGGAAAAATAGGGGCCTTTTCCTGGGGATGTGAAGAATTTTCACGTCGGATGGTATGGAATATTCGGATGATCCTGTGGTAAGGAGTGATTGTGATCTATCCACGTGGCAAGCTTTGGATCGTTGGATTGAATGAGTGCGGGGCGTTGTCGGCTTCGCGCTCCACGAGGCGGTTTTGGGGGCTGGAAAGTGGAAACTGGAAAGCATGGATGTGGATTTTTGGCGGTACACGTGATAAATATGGCGCCGGTGATATTGCTGGATTCTTGGAGAACTCGGTGTCGTAGCAGAGTCGCCATTTACAAGGCTGCACGGGCAACCTTATGGATCTCAGTTCTTAAGGTAAAAGAACAAATTATTATGTTCTAGTACTTTTGTTTTATGCCACAAATTTCTCAGTAAAAAAATTTATTTAAGTATTTTATTAAAAATTTGCTTAACTGGTATTATAAGGGTATCGGTTAAGATGTAATAAATATATATTTTATAATTAATTTATATAAAAAAATAATAATAATAATTTATTTTAATATTATTATAATGTGAACAATTTTAATTAATTATTAATTAATTTAAATTTATTTTTCTCATTTACATATATTAATTACAAAAATATATATATTTATTATATCTTTATCTATGAGTTAAGAGTACAAAATAAATAAAAAAAATTTATTAATAATTTATTTTAATATGAGATTTTGAATTTCAACTACAATTATATGATATGAAAATAAAACAAATTAAAAAAATAAGAGAGTGTTCTTTTCTTATTGTACAATCATTGTAAAAGAATAATACTTACAAGAAATTCTTTTAACTTTTTTTCTTCTTCTAGTAACTACCCTATATTCCTCGGTAATTAAATTTGTTTTATTAATAAAATGAGTTAAAATAACAACTAATTTGGCGTGATGAAACTCTTTTTTCTTTTCTTGTATGCATTAATGAATGTGCTAATTGCTTGGTTGATAAGGAAAAGTTAAGCAAAAAGCGGACGTTTTTTATTTGTATCTTTTTATGGTAAGAATAAAGGATGAGCTTGCAACCAATTGCAATTGGGCAGTTCGGACCCTAAAGTTAGAGCCTTACGTCAATCTGTTAGGAAAAGATTGGACCGATTCAGAATCAGGATCAGAATTGTTCTAGCCTTAGCCCGTTAACTTTACTTTGGGCCATCACGATGTTTTTCAGCCTTAAAAGAGAAAGTGGTAGGCCAAGTGGCCCAGTGAGTAAGGTTTTTTTTTTTTTTTTTTTTTTTTTCTAATTGGGTAAATAATAAAATGCCTTCACCAAAATAAAGATGTAGCAAAAGAAAGAAGCTGAAAGGATATTCATAATGAATAAGATGCCAGGCTTTTTTTCTTTTTTTTTAAGTTTTATTTGAGAGAAATGCTACACTTGGGTTATGACTGGCCCTGAGTGGAATCTTCCTCTTAGGAATTTTTTTTTTAAAAAAAAGGACATGACCAATAAGGTTTTGGGTGTTGCCGAGTGCATATAGCATTTCTTTTTTTTTTTTTTATTGCACCAGTAATTTTAGGAAGATATATATTTTATTTCAATCAGCCTAAATTTACTGGAAATGTGGAAAGAATAAATTTTCCCAAGTAGCAGAACATTGAGATTACACTTCCCACATTTTTCTTGTTTTTCACTATCTCAAATAGGTGCAAGAGATGGGCACTGATTACTGGAGAACAAACTGGCAATGGCAGTGCAGAGAAGGTGCAATTCATCATAGAAGAGAATAATTATATGGAGAGAGATATGGAGTACTCTCTTATCTATATTCCACATTCCACATACAAGTAGTGGTTACCACTTACCATCCATCTTATTGTCCCAAACTGCTTATCGTCTTTTAGTGCATGCCAAAGCCAACATAATTTTAACCATCAAAGACCCATATGTTGCAGATTAACTGGACTCAAAAGGCCCATTAAAATATTAAGTACATATACTAATTAGGAAAGAAAATTAAATACCCATGTGAGCACACTGCCCAGTGGGATTTTGGGAGTGGGAAGTTTGGTCAAAGTATTGGGAATCCCAAAACTTTCTTGCTATACCCTCCTGTGAAATACAAGGTGTAAGATTTACAGGCACTTTTGTTGAAAGAGATGGCATAGGAGTTAGTGAGTGTGTGTGTGTGTGGGTGTTGTTGTTGTGGGGTTTGTAGTTGTCAGACAATTTCCATGGCATCAACCACAATCATGCATCCTTTGCCTCTATCTTAATTTCCTGCCCTGACAACATTATTTTTGGGGGTCTAATTTCCAGATTTCTTGATAAATTTCTACCTAATATATTGACGCATTGGGTGCTATTATTAATTAGTTTCTGATAATATATATGCGTTTTATATATATGCATGGTCCTTCTCTGCATGGGCTCCATTAGACCGCCCATCTCACAGTTCTATTGGTTGGGTATTCATTATTGAATATGCCTATCTTATTTTTTCTGTGTTGGATGGTTGCTGGTGATATATACTCCCAGTTATGGGTTCCAGTAGTACCAGATAATGAAGGAAAAAGCAAGAAGAAATGAAGCATTTTTCAAAGGCTACTCACAGTGTGTGAGCTTTTTGTTTCCCCATATATGGTCTCCCGCAAGAGAGGTGTCCTGATTTGTAAGAATTTGTACTAACAACATATATATTTGACCATCGATACCATGTCCAAAAGTGACATTTGAGTAGAGGGAAAAAAAAACCTTGATAAATTTTATGTATAGTCATTAATATATAAATTAAGTTCCACTACCTGTCTCCCAACTTATGAGGTTGCGTATGGGAAGTCTTGACACACTTCTTTTTTTTTTTTCTTCATTAGCAAAAAATTTTATTTCACAAGTACAGGGGTACTTAAACTTGTTTACAAATTTTAATTATAAATACTTTAGGTTTAGACACACACAATTACTCAACTAAAAAATAGTGGTGAAGAATTTTTTTTTTTTCTTTATTTTTTGAATAGTGAAGGTGTTTTTGAATTAATTTTGCATATTTTGATATTTTTTTAGTGATTTTAAAGAGGTACACCTCACATTAACATAATACATTTAAGAAAATATACAAAATTTAAACTCTAAAACTAACCCATGAAACAATACTTCCTGTCTTCCTGGCCAAAAAGTCTGTCCCATATGCCTCCCCTTCCTTTATTACAATTAAAATCTGCCTCCCTTTTTCTATACCGCTTGCTGGCCTTTTCCTCAATTATTGTTTATGGAGTAATTTTTTTAATTGGCTTTTTCATTTTTGATTTGATAAAGAATAGATTTTTTGTTTCAGAAATCACTAACCAATGAAGAACTGGTCCCTTTGGCCCAGCTGACAAGTTTCAGGGTTCACTAGTCCGACCATGGCAAACACCAGGTCTATATGAACATTTTTCACAACTCCCAAACCCCACTCTTCTTCTTGATCGATCTCCCTCGTTTAATGGCTCTTTTTAGAAAGTTAGATAGCATCAGGCACGCACACAGATGTCCCTCATGCATGCCTTTTTAAAGTACCATTTATTGCATTTGTTTGTGATTTTTGTTTGTCAATATATAGTCAATTTTTGCTTTATACACGTACTACAAAATTAACCCTAAATCAAAGATATAGTAATTGTATCATTCATACGTACAAAATTTATTGTGAAGAATAGAGGGTTGGATGAAAAATTAATTCTGCCATAAATTTTATAGACATGAGTGCTGTGTTATTAATTAGTCTCAGTTGATCATGCCTCACCACTGACCAACGCTCAAATTTAAAAGACTACTGTATTTGTGAAAATAATAATAATACTGTATTAAATATGGGACAGAATAATTCTATAGGATGTTTATGAATTCTTACTTGAGCTAATTAAGTTTTACTGCCTTGATTAATTTCCTTTTAAAGAAGATGGGTGATAGATGTACCGAACGGCAGAAAGGAAAAAAAAAAAAGACCTTATCATTAACTTAATTTTTTTATATGTTTGATGATTAATTACATAAAAGATGATAATTTTAAAAAAATTATTAAATTTAAAATTGAAATATAAATTTTTTAATTTAAAATTTAAAATTTTTAATTATTAAATCACTTTCTTAAAAAATTTAACTCATTTAATAATGTGGTTAAAAAA